CATGAGAAAAGGGCAGATGTACTGAATATTCAGGGAGAATAAAGTAAATATATAAAATGATAACTTTATAGAATAAATTATACTAGCCAGATTTAAATGTTTGATTTCCCCCCACATTTTAAGTTAACCATTGCACAAGTGAACAAATATGTTAAGTTATGCACACAGTGAGATATAAAAATACTCCAAATTCCAAAACATGCTAATTTTAAGACATTCTGTCACAGATATCCAGCTTAGTGTCATCTAAATATTTCATATCCCATAACCACTTCCCTTTGGTCTTGTTGATTGGGGCTAATGAGAACTGAAGACCAAAACTTTAATAGCATACCACAGCCTTTTCAAGAACTCATCCTGTGTTTATCTTGTTAGCTAAAATAACTGTTCTTGACTGTTCAGTATTTACAACCTGAACCACTCAATATGTCTGTTGCGTGAATCAAAACATCTAAAATACTGTACCTGTTTACCTATAGACATACTTTAAAAGAAAACTAATATACACTGTTCTTTCTCACCTCAACTTGAATCAAGAGGTTGAATCGTGGTATGATAAATTTATTCCACTTGTCTTTGATTACTCTGGGCAGGTAGCTAAGGAATATCAAATCTACAATACAGTCTGTAAATCTCTCTTTGCTGTCCGGTTTCTAAACATGACGAGAAATCTTGGAGCAACTTTAAAGATTTAAGGTTCCAGCAGTCTTTGGGAATTAATAGCAGGGGCATTCTCCAGATTTGGAATTGAGCCATCATGCAAAGGCAAAAGTAAAAACTGGAAATTGTCAGAAGACCTTATAGAATCTATGGATCACAAATGTTGCAAATGTTATTAAGTTAGTAGATTGAATATATAGAACAAATATTAGTGCATGACAAGACTATTCAGTTAAAGGGAAAATATGGACATGGACTGCAACCAATATATTGCAAAGGCTTCCACATTAATCTAGTGTGAATTTAGGTCAGCAGAAGTATAAGCTTAATTATTTGAATATGTATTCACTGAGCTTAATGGTAAATAAATAAATTTATAGACCAATAGGCTTCATCCCAATGGTGGGCAGCCTGCAACATAATATAATTAAAAATGGAGCAATGCATAAATCATATAGAACAAACATCTGGAAAAAGAATGCCAATACTACATCCCACAAGGTTTCCACCAACTATTCTAATCCAAGGTCTGGGTGAAGATCCAGGTTTCAAGGGCTCATTTAAATAGAGTCATGATGCAAGGTTACTATGATGACAGGGGGAGGGGCATCATTTCAGAGACCAGGCAGTGCAACACAGAAGGCCCACTTCCTGGATCTTATCAAGTGACTCTATCTAATTAACAGGGCTGTGAAAGCATGAAAACTAATCATATAAGAAATTATGGATGGCCGATGGTCCTTCAACTAACTCAGTCTTATGCCATAAAGAGTTTTATAGATGACAACAAACACTTTGCTTTCTAATTCCCAGTGAATCTAAGTAACTCTAAATCTGAATGAAACCAAGTGACTTTATCCTCCAATGCCCAAATATTCCCATAGAAGCTGTAAAGATGATCATGGGGGCACCACTGGCAAGCCAAAAGATGATCAATGAGAGATCTGAACATGGCAAAGAACTGATGGTAATATCCTCCATTTTTTAATGCTTAAGTGAAAAACCCTTTGCTAATCTCATTTTTCCAGATGTGTCAGGGCAACAAGATTTTAAGCCAGCTTAGTCACCTAGGAATTCTAGCAGTAAGACCCAACACAACACATTTGGATAACCTTAATGCTGAAGAGGAGGCAAGGTGGCCTAGCTGTTAAAGATGCTAAGTTTGTCAGCTAGAAAGCTGACAGCCCAGGTGTGACACCCGAGTGCCATGTGACAGGGTGAGTTCCCGTTACTTGCCCTAGCAATTGCGCACCTAGCAGTTTGAAAGCATGCAAATGTGAGTAGACAAACAGGTACCACTTTGGTAGACTGGTAACGGCATTCCACGTGCCTCAGTGTATAGTTATGCTGGCCACATGACCATGGAAGTGTCTTCAGACGATGCTGCTTTCCTCAGCTAAGAGATGGAGATGAGCACCACCTCCTAGAGGTGGACTTGACTGATAGCAGGAGACAAAGGGGGAATGGGTTGATTCACCATTGGATCAGTCTCCCCTTCGTCATCGCTGTCGTAGGAGCGTAGAGTGGTAGCATGTCCAGCTTGGGCCTCAGTGATCTCCTGAGTGGGTGACATGACTTGGGCAACAGGTTCTTGTGTGATCCAGTTTGACTTCTCTTTCATTGGCTGCTGGGCTGTTTCTTCCACACTGATGGCCCTGATCTGTTCTGCTATTGGGGATATGGGACCGGGCAGCTTGCCGCTCATTGTCCCTGTTGGACACATCTGAAACACTTGATTAGTGGACCTGCAGTGGCTTGGGGTATTCCATAGCTGCAATGGCTGGGGTTTTGCGGGGAGGCGGCCATCTGGTCTGTTCTGTTTCGGCCCAGCTTCCTGCGGTGGTAGCTTCTTATAATGAGCAAGCTCGACGTCCAACCTTACTGCTGCCTGATACCACTCCTGCAATAGAACACTTGGTGTAGAAAAAGCATAGTAAACTGATGAATGAGTTTCAAGGAGTACTTAGTTCTGTTTATCCCACTCTCGTATACATATCCTCACAGGTGCACCTACAGACCCTTTACTTAACTGGATATAATGCTTACACCATACAGGATCTCAGTTATTGTATGGCAAGCTCAACATAATTGTTCATAGAAACACAACAAACTTAAATTTATTGTTAAGAATTAGATTTTATTTTTGTAAGGTTGTAACTTTATTTGAAAAGAATGAAAGAATTAATCATTAACCATCACATGGAAGTAATTGTGGAGCATGCTGTATTTAAATTTAAATACATTAACAGATGCAAGAGATACGGATTAATTGACTGAATTCAGTGGTGGGATTCAACCAGTTCTCACCAGTTCAGCAGAACCGGTAGATAATTTTTTGTTGCCCAGGCCCAGAATGGACTTCCGGAAGTGGCATCCACACAGAGAACCAGTTGTTTATATATTTGAATCCCATCACTGACCGAATTATACAGTAAATGCCTTTCTAGTCTGTAGTTACCTTACTGACTTGTAGTGTAGTTCATCTAGGATAGTAAAGGATGTCCTAAGAACATCCATCACAAAGAACTATTTTTATTACTGCAATATATAATAGATATTTGTGATTTAAAAATTACATCAAAATTCACCATTAGGAATTCATATCTCAACATGATGAAGACGATTTCATTTTTTACAAGTGTGTGAAGTTACTACAGCTACTAGTATTATTCTCTTTATTGGGCTTCCTTTCTGGTACCACTCACCGCTGGGCACATCAACCTCACTCTCATCTTCTTCCAGGAAAGACAAAGGATATTCAACATGAGGAATAACTCCAATATTACTTTCACAATATTAACCAATCAATTCAAGGATAAATTTCCATTCATTCATTCATTCATTCATTTGCTTGCTTGCTTGCTTGCTTGCTTGTTCAATTTCTATGGCCACCCATCTCACTCAATGACTTTAGGCAGGTTACATTTGCTTATGTTCTGCAGCACAGACCAATTGTTTGCATTTTTACATTTTTCCAAGTAATGAGAAAGGCAGAGGGTATATAACTATTTATAATAAAAAATATAGCCAAAAAGATTACTATTCATCTACAAGATTTCAAAAAAATGAAACAAATATATGGAAAATAATTTACAATACTGTGACAACTTTATCTAGTAGCTGATATATGGGTCACTGCATGTTAATATGTTCACTTTATTTTGATCAATACCCATACAGGGATCATTTATACATGCAACAGATGGTAAAACTGTTAAAAAAGGAGAAAGATGGTGTTATCAAGTATAGACTGTACAAGCAATTTCTAAATTTACAGGGATAAAACTATGTGAAAGTGTTGGTATGCATATTTTTAAATAAAGCCAATTCAACAGGTATTGTAAATAAAATGAAGTAAGGAATTAGCAGTTAAATATTACTTTTTATCATTTGATCTATCTAGAAGCACAGTTCAGTGAAAATGAATTTCAAAGTGATCTATATCATTTATTAAATGCGTTTGTAATTTTTCATTTCACTTTTACTTGCTCTGGAATTTCTTTCTGAGTTGGAAGTTTATTGTATGCATAGATATTGTCAGAGTTTCTACTTTTCCACTGAATGAATTATTATTAAAAAAATCAAGGATATTGTTTTTCTAAAAGTATTTAAATTTAGGTTTAGCTGGGGTTCAGATGGAAATGTAGTTTTCTACATCACCAAACCAGGGCTAAGATAAATAACAATGTAGATTTATCCATTTTTTCCTATAAAAAGATACATCTTTCCCAATGATTTGTTACAACTGTGATACAACATTAATTTGGAAAAGGGGACTGCCACTTACTTCCTAAAAACTTGTGATCAGATTACAAAGGTACAATAAAACATCCATAAAAACATTAAAGAACAACACACAAAAAGCCCACAATATTAAAGAGAACAATTAAAGGGATGGATAAATAAGTATGGTCATATAGGTTAGCACAAAGGTACAAAGAGGCAGCTTGCTTCAACTTCAGAATGGATTTCTCGGTGTATTTCTCTTTATTAATGCAAATTACAGTTGGCCCATAATCCAAGTTTGCAAGAAGTTTATAGCCATTCATTATCAAGGGTGTGTGTTCACCCTGATGAAGTGTGAAATCATGGACAAGAAGGGAATAAATTAGGAAAATGGGAAGAGATATAGAAAACAGCCTCCCTTTCTATCCTGGATAGGAAATATTGTTCCAGTTTGTACTGGACCTTTATTAATTTTAAAGTTTATAGGCCAAGGCTAATCAGAGAAACATTGAAATTTTATCCAAAGGTAATGCTAATGAAATTTTGTTTCTTTCTAAATATTGTGATCACAGATGCCTCCAAATATCATCAGAGGTGCATTTGCTTATTTCTAGGATCAGTGGTTTTGGCGAGTCAGAAATAACAGGGTGATGGATGGATACCCCATGCAGATTACCTACTTCTGGAGGGGGCTGCCTCCAAGCATTGATGCAGTTTATGAAAACAGTGATGGAAACTTCGTTTTCTTTAAAGGTAAGAAGTATAAAACAATGCTCTCATAAAAATTCTGCTAAGATACAATAAAGCTGCTCCATCTTATCATCATTCTAAATGGGAAAAAAGACAGGCTATAAATATTTTTTTTATTTAGCGAAAATATTATTAACTGAATACATAAACATTCCCAATAAGTACTTGTTTAGGTCAAAATAAAACATCTCTCTTTGAATGATAGCCAAAGCTGCTTCAGGTTAAAAACCTGAAATTGTCTTATACATAGTTCATAGCAACAAAAAATAACTTAGGAGCTGAAAGAGACTGAAGCAATGGCCCAAAGGAAGTAAGTTAAAGCTAGGTAAGTAATCAGGATCTGTTGATTAAACCAAGGAAATCCAATCCAAAACCAAGCCAAGGTTACAGGGAGAATATCTGGCTGCACAAGAGTGGCAAATAAGAGTTGCATGTCCCCAGAGATGCAGCAGAGAGATGGGAAATATAAACCAAAATGCCAAAATTAAGGTGCTTAATTTTGTTTTAAAATTTTCTAATCCTGTAAAATCTGTATCTTAGGTACTTACTCCATCTTGTACTTATATTTTCAATCTGAGATCGATATACTCCTAAAGCTCTCGTTGCCATATCCTTTAACTGGGTACATCATAGGGCAACACTTTTTGACCCAAGGTACCTCAAATTAGCTAATTTACTATTTACAATATTTTCTATTTCAAATTTCAATAAACATTTATCTATTTCAGCAGTTACAGCAGTTCATCAGTTGTATTTCAAACTGTTACATGGTTTGAAGCCATAAATTATTTTGTCTATCACAAATGAAGGCAAATATATGTGTCCCAGGTTAATGTTGCAGGTTCCAATGTGAGTCAGCCACCAGGCCCAGAGCTCTCTTCCTCCAAGCTTCTGGACTTGTGCTGGAGCCCATCCTCTGGAAAATTATCTCTCTCCAGAATAAGTGTTGTCCATGCTGTTATGCTGTATAATAACCCAGGGAGTCTTAAAAATAAAACACAAAGATAAGTATTGCAAGGTTTTAGCAATATCACTGCATGATTTCATGAGAAAACTGAAATCTCTTAAGAATTCAGCATTTTCAGTTAGATGTTTTCATTCACAAAGATGTCTCACAATTATGGCATTCTGGTTCAAAATTAAATACAAGATTGCTGAAATCCATGACATTTGATGAATTTAAGAAATATTGCTCATTTAAAAAAATTAAATAAAATGTTGGGGAGATAATAGCTAGGTGGAATATAAAAATAAATCATTTGACCACCTTGGAAGTTTTTTAGACACAACTTCCCATGTATGCACTGTGTGTTCGAATGCATGAGAGGGAAAACAAATAAGCTCTCTTATCCTAATACAATCTCCTAATTTAAATTGCATTGCCTTTTATTTATTAAAAAAAGTATTTTACTGTGCTAGTATCATATACTATTCTGTTGTATTATTTTTGGACTTTAAATTATAATTATTCATTATTTCTAAGACATACGGGATATCTATTTGGTGAACTGTAAATCAGTAAAATTTAGTTTTACATATTATTGGTAAAATAATGCACAGCAGCGGGAGTCAACATTTCAAATCAGAACAGTGAAATCTTGCAAGTTAGGAAAGTTCAGAAGATTTCTTATTCCTAAGATTTCACATGTTCTGATATATTGACATTTTGTAAGATCCTAGACATTAACAAGGTTTTTTAAGTGGTTTTACTGCAACTACAGTTGTCATAAGGATACATTTCCAATTTCTATTATAATCCTTAGACTTTATTGATTTATGAAATTTGTACCCTACCTACTGAGCAGTGATAATAATGGCAATTTTTAAATTGGACTGTTTTAATGTGTTTTATATCATGTATCTGATTTCAGAAATTAGTTAGTTCAGTTTGCAGTAGCTAACTTTCACCCATGATTATATTTTACAATATCCAATATTATTTTAGTGGACAAAATTATGACACCTTACAACCACATGATGAACTTTTCTCCTTCCATCTGAAAAAACCCAACAAATATCAGTTATTGTTTCAAAGTTTGGAAGATCAACGTTTCATATAGGTGAGAAGCAGGAATCATGTGCCACCCCATCACCATGCTGTTTCATCTGCCATCTCCAGAATTAGTTGTTTTAAGCATTAGTTATTTGTCTTGCTTTTCATGTAATCTGTGTTACACAGTGATTTATCTGCTATTACTAATTCAGGTGGGAAATAAGTATTTACAATGTTCCTGTTCTCATGCAAATTTCCTTCCTAATTAAAAATTTCATAAAGACCAAAAATATGGCATGTGCAATGCAGGGTTTTGTATTTCTCTCCCCACCCTCAGTTTTTCACCAGGCATCAGCTGTTGCCTAAAATTAAAACTTTAAATATGCATCTAATTTGAGTTTAATGTGAAAATTATACATTCTATTGAATAAATACTAGTTTATCATTACAACCTGTTCACTGGGATTGAAAACCCATGTAGAATATAATTACTTATAAAGTGTTTTTTAAATAAGGTGCATTTATAGCAACACAATTAGGGATTAGATGAAAACTCTCAACATTGTTATAATGAGTGGCTCATTGTAGCTTAAAGGTTGGTTAAGACAGCATGCTGGGTGGTACTGGAATCTCTTGAAAATTGTACTGCTCTGGCTACCTTTGAATTTCTCCTCACTCCCTAACTTCAAGCCCTCTAACCCCAAGATTGTCTTCAAATAGTGAAAAGTGCAGCTTTGAGAAACTTCTTTTTATTCTATTTGCTCCCCATCTTTCATTTATAGAATATTTTGTGTTTGGGGCCCAGAGCATGACACTTGCTATTCCAGTCATATTTTTTCTACATTTCATACTTCCCTAATTATTATTTTTTTCTATAACTGCGTCTACTTACTCTCCCATTTCCTTACCCGGATGTCGTGCCCTGTTCTTACTTGTTTCAAATAAAAGGAATTTAGAAATTCATGGGGCAAGGGGGAAGCACAACTCTAAGAGAAAAGCAGCAAGATGCTGTCAGCAAAAGTTGATGGGAAGACAAGAGAGATCTCAAATGCTCTTCCAGTCTCTAAGTTTGGAATTTTCAGGAAGAATTGTAAAAATTACAAATCGGCAGTGAGATATAACATTAGTTCCAATGTTCATTTATTCTAGGGCTTCAAGTGGACTATATACCCCTCTTTGGGGACACCATTTCTGGGGAACAACAATTTTGATATAATATAGTTTAAATTAATAAATAGTTAACATGGTAAGGTACTTTTTTCTAGGGCTTTTTTGTCATAGAACACACCGTAACAGAGTTCCAGCACCTTTTTTCTGATGGATTTTCCAGAGTTGCGTTCTTTTCCTATTGTTGCCCTTCCTATCCTTGTTTACGTTTGAAAATGCCCCGTGGTGGTATGGTGTGAGCCCACCGAAGCAGGGTCTCCTCCGGTGCTGTTGCCTCCTCTAGGAGAAGCCATGAGGCGCTGGAACACCACAGCCAGAGTGTGGCTTGATTGGCTGGGTCAGACCATGTGGTGTGGAAGCCGATGGTGGTAGTGGGAGCCACATAAACATGGAGGCCATCTTTCACAAGAGGGTGAGTGAGATTTTTGCCTTCCCTTACAGAAGGTGGGGTGTGAGGTTAAAAAGAGGTGAAGTGAGAGGAAAGAAAGGTAGTTGGCACGGAAGCTTGCCCAACAGCAAAACTTTGCAGTTTCGGTTCCTTGGGTAGTTCAAAGGCTGAGATATCTACGAAAATGTCTTTTTAGTCTTTTATACTTTATATTCAAACTGCAGAGGGGAAGAATAAGAATAAAGCCAATGTCATGATTTGGAGGTATTATTATTAATAATAATATATATTAATTATGTATTCGTCAGATGTAAAGGTAGATCTATAATATGAGATTTAATCAGATCTATTTATTAAATTGGGTTTAACATAAAGATAAATTAAAAGTAATCTGTTTACTGACAAAGCTTCAACTTTAATTTGTTTCAAGTCAATATCCATATTAAATTCCAAATGTAAATTTTTCCACCTTGTTTAAAAACTTCTTAAAAATAATTCAATCTTTTAGAAGCAACCAAATTTTGTTTTATTGGGCCAATTTCATTCCACATAGAAAGCTGACATTTCCATTCATTAAACTAAAAGAGTGTGCCAGTGGTAAATGTTCCAAAAGATTAATAAAATTAATTTAAAGCCATACAGTGCATGGTAACATTAATAGCATTAACTTACCTTGAACAAAATCCTAATCTTTTAGATACACTAAAAATTAAAGGGTGTTTTTTTTTTCAACTATAAAGGTAAGTCTTGTAGGGTAGGCAAGGCAGGTTGTATGATGTGTGTGAGTTCCGGTACCTTTAAAAAAAAAAAAGCACTGCTTTTTTCCCAGTTAATTATGGGGGGGGGGTCACAGAAGTACATGAGACTCAGAAGGGTGCCAGGAACACAAAATGCTCTTCAAGAAAAACAGATAAAAAGCTAAAAATGTACCACATTTAATTACTGCTTCAGTATGTTTAAGTCTAATTTATTTTATTTAGTGATTACCACCTCTATACAATAAATGTTATGAAACTTGAAACCTTTTTATAACAGTGCTGACTGTAACATCTTGCTCAGAGACTTACCGTTTCTATTTGGTTTTTGTATTAGGGGTTCTTCTAAGATGCTGTCTTGATTTGATCATCCCTTTTTCCCCCCTGCACTATCAATTATTTTATCTCTAACTACTTAAAACAGGGTTGTCAAACTGCCGGCCTGCGGGCCAGACATGTCATCTGGAAGCCACGCCCACCCCATTGCCAGCAATGACAAAACAGTCCCGATACGTTCCACGACGTCACGTGACATCGCAAGTTTGACATGTCTGATTTAAAATTAGAAAGTAATATTTACATTTCTTTTTTTAAAAAATAAAGTTTTATTCCATTAATATCTTGGAAGATTGATGTGCCTCGAAGCAGTTAAGGAGGTAACCCAAAGATGCCTTTTCCAAAAGGCAACTGGACTTTCTTG